GTCTGCCCAGTTGGACCACTCGAAAGATGCAAACGTGTATGGGTCTTCATTCCCGATTATCTCCAATTTTTTTCATAGCGTGTTCGTTCGGAGTAGTTTAGAGTATCCCGGGAGAACATAGTTCTGTCTGCTATTTCCCTGGACGCCATTACTCAGAATAACCTACCAATTTCACTAATGTGTTCTGCTAGCGCGCTAAACGGTGTTGTCAACGTTGGCGCCAGTCGGCGTTGATATCTCCAATATAGCGGCCATGACGCGTTGCTATGACATTGTGACATCAGTGCATACGCTCTATATCGATGTTTATCTTGGCGGTGTATCATATCAAAATTAACGATGGTCCTACAGAGATTTGAACTCGGATCGTTGGATTCAAAGTCCAAAGTGCTAACCATTACACCACAGGGCCTGTAATACTTCCTTCTAATATACATTTCTATGGTGAAAACAAACATTACTCAGAATGTATAAAGTCCTTTCAACTGAGATGACCGATGCATTTCGAATAGCTGTGCGTCATTCAGACATTGACACCTGCTAATGAATTGATAACATGAATGGTATTATTGTTTTAGCAACTGCCATCAGATGATGATTTTAAGGAAGGATTTATTGCAGATTGGCGTGAAGGCACGTCGCATTCCTCCTGCGCTGAAAGTTTGTATATCTTGGCGGTGTATCATATCAAAATTAACGAAGGTCCTACCGAGATTTGAACTCGGATCGCTGTATTCAAAGTCCAGAGTGCTAACCATTACACCATATGGCCTGTAATACTTGCTTCCAATATATGGTGAAAACAAACATTACTCAGAATGTATAAAGTCCTTTCAAATGATATGACCGATGAATTTCGAATAGCTGTGCGTCACTTAGACATTGACACCTTCTCACGCATTGACAACATGAATGGTATTATTTTTTAGCAACTGCCCTCAGTTGATGATTTTAAGGAAGGATTTATTACAGATTGGCGTGAAGGCACGTCGCATTCCTCCTGCGCCGCAAGTTTGTGTATATCGATGTTTATCTCGGGGATATATCATACCAAAATAAACGAGATTTGAACTCGGATCGCTGGATTTAAAGTCCAGAGTGCTAACCATAACACCATAGGGCCTGCAATACTTCCTTCCAATATACATTTCGATGGTGAAAACAAACATTACTCAGAAAGATAAAAATCCTTTCATCTGAGATGACCGATGCATTTCGAATACCTGTGCGTCACTCAGACATTGACACCTTCTCACGCATTGACAACATGAATGGTATTATTTTTTAGCAACTGCCCTCAGTTGATGATTTTAAGGAAGGATTTATTACAGATTGGCGTGAAGGCACGTCGCATTCCTCCTGCGCCGCAAGTTGGTATGCATCGATGTTTATCTTGGCGGAGTTTCATACCAAATTTAACTAAAGTCCAACCGAGATTTGAACTCCGATCGCTGGATTCAAAGTCCAGAGTGCTAACCATTACACCATAGGGCCTGTAATAATTCCTTCCAATATACATTTCTATGGTGAAAACAAACATTACTCAGAATGATAAAAATCCTTTCAACGGAGATGACCGATGCATTACGAATACCTGTGCGTCACTCAGACATTGACAACTTCTCACGCATTGTTATCATGAATGGTATTATTGTTTTAGAAACTGCCCTCAGATGATGATTTTAAGGAAGGATTCATTACAGATTGGAGTGAGGGCACGTAGCATTCATTCTGCGCCGCAAGTTTGTATATATCGATGTTTATCTTGACGATATATCATACCAAAATAAACGAAGGTCCTACCGAGATTTGAACTGGGATAGCTGGATCCAGAGACCAGAGTGCTAACCATTACACCATAGGGCCTGTAATACTTGCTTCCAATATATGGTGAAAACAAACATTACTCAGAATGTATAAAGTCTTTTCAAATGATTTGACCGATGAATTTCGAATAGCTGTGCGTCACTCAGACATTGACACCTTCTCACGCACCATAGGGCCTGTAATAATTCCTTCCAATATACATTTCTATGGTGAAAACAAACATTACTCAGAAAGATAAAAATCCTTTCAACGGAGATGACCGATGCATTTCGAATACCTGTGCGTCACTCAGACATTGACAACTTCTCACGCATTGCTATCATGAATGGCATTATTGTTTTAGAAACTGCCCTCAGATGATGATTTTAAGGAAGGATTCATTACAGATTGGCGTGAGGGCACGTAGCATTCATTCTGCGCCGCAAGTTTGTATATATCGATGTTTATCTCGGCGATATATCATACCAAAATAAACGAAGGTCCTACCGAGATTTGAACTGAGATAGCTGGATTCAGAGACCAGAGTGCTAACCATTACACCATAGGGCCTGTAATACTTCCTTCCAATATACATTTCTATGGTGAAAACAAACATTACTCAGAAAGATAAAAATCCTTTCAACTGAGATGATATATCATTCCAAATTTAACGAATGTCCTACCGAAATTTGAACTCCGATCGCTGGATTCAAAGTGCAAAGTGCTAACCATTACACCATAGGGCCTGTAATAATTTCTTCCAATATACATTTCTATGGTGAAAACAAACATTACTCAGAAAGATAAAAATCCTTTCAACTGAGATGACCGATGCATTTCGAATACCTGTGCGT